GGTTGGGGCCTGTGTTCCCGGCAGGCAACAGACTTGGCCAAAACCTCCTTCCCCGACACTGCTGGGTTTTCCTGACCCATTTTGGATATTCCCAGGGATTTTGGATATTCCCAGGCATTTTTCCCAGCCCCCCTCCCCTGCCCTGGGAGTCTCCAGCCGTCTGAAACAAGGGCCAGCCCCACTGCCGAAAGCCCTTGGGATGAAGCTCCCGGCGTTCCCGCAGATGCGGTGCCCATCGATACTTTCCACCCACCCAAAGCTCAACCAAGATTTTTTACTGAGCGAGCAAACGCTGGGCCAGCGCCCGAGGAACACACGCACATCCTGAGCTCCGGGAAAGCCTGGGAGAGGCGGCGTGATGGAAAAAAGGGGAAAACCAAACCCAGACACGTGGGGCTGAAGAACTCGGTGGGCACTTTCCCCACGGTAATGCTGCCGGGCAAGCCCTGGCAGCCACCCCGTGATGTTGCAAAGTCCCCTCCTTTCCAGAACCGCTGACTGTAAATACCAAAATCCAAATGCCCAAAAAGGGGTATTTTAGAGGGAGCTGGAACAAAACCCTTCCAGCTTTTCCCAAATCCCAGGGAAGAGCTCAAGCTGCTCTATCCCTTTCCCCACGGACTCCTCCTCCTCCCCAAAAGCGTTTGAGCTGGGAGAGCTGAGAGGTGATGGAGGAGGAGGACACAGGGTTATCGCTGCCATTCCCGGCTCTGGCACGCTCCCAAATCCCTCCTGCAACGAGATTCTCATCCCGGGAAGTGCTTTTAAGTCTGTGTGACGGCAAAAAAAACCCCACTGCAAATCAATTTAACGCGAGCGGATCAGAAATTGGGGCCTCAAGCAGGGACCGGCCCATCTCTCCGCTGCACTCCTGCCCTTGGGATTTAGCCCCTCGGCTGCGGGGAGCAGAGGTGAGGATGAAACGTGGGACGGGCTCTTGTTGCTCTGCTCAGGGAATTAAAAATAAAGAAAGAAAGAAATAAAAGTGGCTTATAAACAAATGGAGCTGGGATTTAACAGACAAACGCACTCACGTCCGGGATGCGGGTGGGCATTTTTGTTGTCAGGAGGGGAAATAAATCCAGCCTGTGTTTGAAGCAGGGTTCGAGCAGATTCCTGCTCAACTTCAGCCCAAAAAATGGTCTGTAAATAGGGACACTCAGGCCCAAAACAGCCTGGAAACCTGCAGAGAACAACTAAGGTGTTTTAAACCTCAAGGGGCAGGTAGGTAGAGGTGGATTAGGGGAACAGCGTTACTCCGAGCCGTGTTTCAGCCTCCTCTTAACTCATACCTCCTTCCCTCTACAACGACCTGAAAGGAGGGTGTAGCCAGGTGGGGGTCGGTCTTTTCTCCCTGGTAACCAGCGATAGGACAAGAGCAAACGGTCTCAAGTTGTGCCAGGGGAGGTTCAGGTTGGATATTAGGAAGAACTTCTTCACTGTTAGAGTCGTTCAGCATTGGAATGGGCTCCCCAGGGGGGTGGTGAAGTCACCATCCCTGGAGGTGTTCACAAAACGTTTAGATGTGGCGCTTCAAGACATTTAGTGGGTTTGGTGGACAGGGTGGCATCGGGTACACGGTTGGACTTGATGATCTTTGAGGTCTCTTCCAACCATAATGATTCTATGATTAACACAGAAGGACCCAGCAAGGACCCACTGCTGTGCCCACATCGCTGGCCCAACTCCCCCCTGCAAAGTTGAAATGCAAAGTCCGCCGGAGCTTTGCTTTACAGCTGCCACGGGCTCTGCCCTCCTCCTGAATCTGAGAAGAAACCCTCATGTTTTGGAGGCTGGAAAAAAGGTTTTTAATTCTTAACACATCCAAGCAGAAACCCCTTCGCCTGCCTCTTCCAGCCAGCCCTTCTCTGCAGAGCTGCAAACCAGGAACGTGAGGGGCAGGAGCGCGGTGAGCGTGTTTATCTTTGATTTCAGTTAAATCCCAGCAGAGTTTACCCTGCCCAAGTAATGCGGCCAGCAGAGACGTGCTGGGTATCGTCATCCTCCGATGGTGGCGAGGCTGAGCGGGGCTGGAGGGGACGTAACCCTCAAGGGACACCGCCCACTCTGCCTCCCCCTTTATCCACAGCTTTTTGTCGCAGTGATCACAGAATCATAGAATCGTTATGGTTGGAAGAG